TTTATATTGGTTTTGAAACTGCTGGCCTAGTGTTTGTATTCTGTTCTTTGCTCGTCATGCCTACTACTATACTAATATTATGAAGGTCATTGATCACTTCAATCGTGAAATGCGCGCTGTAATTTGGACTATAAATCAGGGCACAACATTTTGTTCCGAGATGGCTGACGATATCAAAAGCGCTCTAACAGAGCCGCACACTTTGAGTGCTGTGGCGAAGCGGACCAGGAAGAACTATGGTGCTTTGAGGCAGGAAAACAAGGACCTAGCTGAAAGGATAACTGAAGCTGAATGAAAATTTATGGAACTGCAACAATAGAACAGTCCCAATAATGTAAAAATATAGGGCTTACCATTCACTGCTAAGGACAGGACCGCTGAAATGGCCTTGAAAATTTTACAGTCAATCAAGGTTCCTCTCGACCCAACAGACATTGATATCACCGATACCACCAAAACTGAGAACAGTTATGACGCTAATCTGACTGTAAGGTTCACGACCAGAACAAAAACGAAACTTTTTCCTTGATGCAGCAAAGAAGGCAAACCTGTCGACTACTGATATTGGCTTCACGGGGCCCAAACAACGGATCTACGTCAACGAACAATGGACGCCCCACAACAAACGCCTCCTTGGTGCAGCTATAGGAAGAAAAAGGAAAGCGTTTGGGAAGTATGCGTGGACAAAGAATGGCAGCATACTAGCACGTAAAACAGGAACTTCCTATGTCATTCAGTTCATTTGTCAAACGGATTTTGGGAGAACGACGTAGTTCAGCGTCATTAAATCCGATATATGGCTTTTTGCTTTTTTTATCGCCCCTGGAAAATCGCTCGGGTAACACGCCTATTTTCAAACCCTCGCAGCTTAACCATATGCTGGCACAGAGAAAACTGGTAGGTTGACAGCAGTAATTTTCAGCATGCAAACTGTTGTGAACAAAGTTGATCCATTGACTGATTTTCCGGCGGGCTTCACAAACCCGTTTGACGTTCTAAAACATGATATCATCATGATACTGATGTTCTGCGCATGCCTGGTTATATTTAATTTTGTGTTAACCGTACAGCAAAACGTGGGAGAGGCGATGGCCTGCTGGTGAAAAACAAGCATGTCTATGAACTGTTACAGGAACACTGCTTTTCGTGGCTCTGGTATATTGAACTGCTCACCATTAAGTTGGCCTGTTAAACAGTTTCTGTTGTTTATCGTCCCCCTCAGGGAAACCTATCCACATTCTTTAATGCTTCGACCACGATATATTCTTTCTCAATTTAGAGGCATTTTCTTCTTGCATGACTGGAGACTGTAACAGAGATATGGGCACTATCCGTTCAACGCAGCAACAGTTGCTCCTTCAAGCCACTGGTTTTCACGATGTAATCAGTAGTCCCACACGAGCCACTGATAGTGGGTCTTCTGTGCAAGGCCTTAAAATTACTAACATTGATTGTATGCTTGTTTCGGGCCGCTTAGCATTACACATAAGCGATCACTTGCCTGTTTTCCTGTTTCTCGAAAAGCAAATTCCTTCAAAAGCAAACGCGAAGGCTCAGCGGCAACTTTTATCTCCTCAGAAACTCGAACAATTGAGGAGCACATTGCTTTGGTGGATCGGTCTGCAGTATACAATGAAAGCACAACTGCGCATGCTTACCGCAAATTTCTGGAAATGTTTATTTTATATTACAATGAGCCACACAAAACACACAGGCATTCTGGCACAGCACAAATCACTGCGTAACCACTTGAGTAGGGAAATGAGGGTAGCGAGAACTACTTATTACAAAACCGTGTTCAAAAAATTTTTTCTCGGCACCCAAAAGAAAAATAAAAGCGCATAAACATGCTTTTAAGCAGAAACACGCATGAGAGAAATATAACAAGTTTAGTAATAGATGACAAGGAAACATCCGGCTTGCGTCTTGCAGAGTCATTTTTAAATTTTTCTCTGAGGTATGACACAGCCAGTTCAATGTTGCAATCTTTGGTTTTTTATGTGAAACAGTAATATCATCCCCATGTATTGCACCAATGGATGAAACGGAGGTTTTTTTGACATCTAGAAAGCTTAAATCTACCTGTAGTCTTGATGCGCACAATATTCAAAGTCGGCCACTGAAAAAGGTTCTCGACATTATCACGCCATGTCTAGCGTACATATATAACATGGCACTTACCATATCCCAATTTTCTGCTGATATGCAACTAGCAAGGGTGGCCATGATTCACAAAAAAGGAGATGTGAACACTTTGGGAAACTATAGGCCTGTGTCATTACTTCCGTATTTTTATAAGGACTTCGAACAACTCATCTGCGTTCATCTCAACGGCTTTTTTCTTAAACATTCCTTGATACCTGACTGTCAATATGGCTCTACAAAACACAGGCCTACAGAGCATGCGCTGCTTGTTCAAAAAGAATATATATTAAAGAACTTTGAGGCCCAGCTTTCCACTCTTGGTATTTTGTTGATTTCAGGAAAGCCTTTGACTGCTTAAATTGCAAAACTCTTTTCGCGAAATAAGAGAACTATGATGCACGTGGCCACGCTCTTAACCTAATGAAGTCCTACTTGGGTTCACAGTCTCAATGCGTAGCCATTAACAACTACGCTTCACAGTTGCAAAGCATTTCAAATGGCGTCCCTCAGGGTAGCATCTTAGGGCCACCGCTGTTCAATATGTACGTTAATGCTATTCCTAACATCAACACTCACGCAAAATACATTATATGATAATGATACCACCTATTTTTTTCTTCTAATGACATACAACACTTAGCAGATATTGCGAATAACGCACTCTCATCTCTTGCCGTATGGTCATCAGTTAATTTACTAAAAATAAACAAACAGAAGACAAAAGCAGTGATTGATTGATTTGTGGGGTTTAACGTCCCAAAACCACCATATGATTATGAGAGACGCCGTAGTGGAGGGCTCCGGAAATTTCGACCACCTGGGGTTCTTTAACGTGCGCCCAAATCTGAGCACACGGGCCTACAACATTTCCGCCTCCATCGGAAATGCAGCCGCCGCAGCCGGGAATCGAACCCGCGACCTGCGTGTCAGCAGCCGAGTACCATAGCCACTAGACCACCGCGGCGGGGCGACAAAAGCAGTGCTCTTTTTACCTCGAAGGAAAGCAAGTATTTACACGGCCCTGCTTATACCTAGGCAATAGTTTATTTCAGTACGTCGGTGCGTTTAAATCATTAGCATAACGTTTAGCAGCACAATATCACGGCCTGCACATGTCAATAGTCTTTCTTCGGCACCCTCTAAAATCATGGGAAGCATTTCGCATAACAGATATATTTTTCCCACCAAAACCAAGCTTGCTTTGTAATATGCGTTCTTTTATTCTCACCTTAGCTATTGAGCGCTCGTCCAGGGCAACACAACTTTGTCAAACACATTGAAACTGCAAACTCTGCAGCAGAAAATGCACCACGCAATTGATATTGGGTCCTATTTGTGATTAGCCCACTGAAAATGTTTTCTTATAGTGCAATATTTTAACTGTAAACAAACTATTTGACTATAGATTTGCATGCTTTTATAAGACAACAACGAGGAAAAATAATTCATCTATTTTGAAAATTGTTTTACTTACACTTCGTCATTCAATACGTGATACCAGAGTACAAAACAGTTTCGTATTACCAAAGTCTGGAACTCATTATGGTTTTTTAATGTTAAGGTATATTGTGCCAAAGTTCTCGAATTTCGACTGCTTAAATACTTTATCTTATCGTGCTTCCACAAAAGCAATATTTAGGAGTGTGTGTAGTCTTAGTCACAATGTGTTTTCCAGTCTTCATACATTGTAATAATACGTGTTATGGTTTTGTACTGGCAGTGCAGTTGGTAATTAAGATACTTATGCCTTTATTATCGGTTTTATTTATTTTTTTGTTTGTGTTGTAAAAACACAGTGTTTTGTATGAACCTTTTATGCAGTAACTGTCTTTTGCTTTGTGTCTACTGCTGACTTATAGGGATGGCGAGGCGCGTCAAGCGGCGTTAAATTCACTGCTTTTTTTCTCGCCATCCACAGTTTGTGTGTACAAGCTGTGATACAGGCTCGATTGATTGATTGATTGATTATCTCATAAGCGAGTGCTGAAATATTAAGTACAATGCACTTATACAGCGAAGTCATAAGGCAGTATGCACTGGCGTTACCAGGGAGTGGCACAAAAAAGCCAGTGGCCCCCTCCCCGACATTGTTTTCGCCATGGCAGAGGGAGTGCAAAATGACCCTTTACCTGCCCGGCCTTCCCTTCAGTTAAAAAAAAAAGGCTGACCCCCCCCCCCCCCCCCACCCCATGCCACTCCTGGTAAAAAAAATCTGTCTACGTCTCTGGTGGAATGGTCCCGCAATTCCAAGCGAAACAGCCGCTGAACTTCACCGCATGAGCCCACGGAAGCGGCTTGGCTTTCGGCATCGCTGCTGCATGTACAATGTAAAGTTTTGAGCGCTGATTTTCGTGAGCCCTAATAGAATCAGTAAAGTCAACTGACCGAGTTCTTTCATTGCTGGCACTGAAAACTGATTCATGGGCGATAACGTTCTTCCCCTTCGGGCATTTATGGGCGTATCCCGCTATGGACGCCTCTGAGGAGGCTCGCCGAGAACGTCAGTGCTATGAGTGAATCACGCTCTCAGGGCTAAGCGAGCAGAAGAAGCACGACAACGGTGATTGCTTAGCACATGCTTTCGGAAAACGCGACAAAGCAGCCAAACAGCAACGACATAGAGATTATTCCAAGGTGATAGCCAGAGAAGCACAAACGAAATGCCGTTATCGAGTTGCTATGAAGGCGCGGGTGCAAAAAAGTGCACCAAAAAGAGAAACATCGCGACAGTGCATGCATGGCGCTTACCCAGCATTCTTGAGTGGAGCTTTCCGAAAATGCTTACATGGTTTCGCATGTAACAATTCCAAGCCCAATTGGAGTGTAATTCAAAGCTTTATTATTAGCACGGAATGTACTTTATGTGGGAATACAGAAATTTATTGCCTCATAACTTTTATTTGATTCCTAAAATAATTTTGCATTTCGGCATATAAATTCCATGTCCTCTTGGTGTCAGCTTCTCGAAACGTTTCACGCATTTCTCGTGAGGACGTGTTTTAAGGTAGGCATCCCGAACTCGCAAGTCATAAAACGTTTGCTTAGCTGCAAACAGGAGGAAAGAGCTGGTCGTTAGTTTTGCTAAACACCTAAAAATAATATTTTTCTGATTGATTCAGTCTTCAGAAATAAGTAAAACGTGTCAATTGAAAGATCAAGAGCAAGTATACCCGTCGAACATATATGAAATCAATTGTAACCTGTACACCGTGCGGCCGAGCGAGATGTGGAGCCACTCGTGGTGCCGACGTCAACGCAGGGGTAATGTAAACGAACCCTACGTCACGAGTTTGTGGTGGGTGGTTGCTGATGTACGGCTTGTGCTTGCGCTACCCGCGACTTGCCTCCATCGTGCCTGCGGCTTCGCGTGTGTCGGCGGCGCTGGCTGCTAGTGCGGCGCCCGCTCGCGCACGTCACAGTTTTGCTTGGTCACGTGGCCAGGTGTGTTTACCGTTCCGTGGAACTGTTCCTAGTGTAACTCGGTGCTCTCTGAAATCGAAACTCAGACTTGACGCTCTGAAAACATCTCTAAATAAGTAATGATTGGGAACTGGCATAAACGAGATTTCAAACCTCGATGAGTGGGTCATACGCTACCAATTGATAAAAAAAAAGTGCAATGTTTTTGTGTCAGCGCTTTTCGAAGTCAACGTGAAGACTGTGGCTGACAGTTGCGAAATCATTAACTTGAAATACCCGTTGCGGCTAGGGAAATCTTCGCTATTGGATATTTTCTCGTCACTTTATTATTTTGGTAATACTGCGCAATTACCTTTATTGCTTTTTTGTTTGTTATGTCATTCTCCCAAGTGGTGAATCTAGAGTTGCCACACAATTACACACCAAAAACCATTAAGCGACAAGTTGTTTTGTCTTTTTTGGTTAAATTGATGATGTACATCCTTTACAATCTTGAGCGGTTATAATTTATTGCGACAGTGTTAAATGATCTTTTGGTGATGTAATGTCATGAGTGTGATGCGCGCGAAAATAGTGACATCTTTCCTTTTTACAACAAACTTCCTAGATGCATTTCAGTTAGAAACTACTGGACAATCAGCTAAGCAGTGAAGATATTTTTTTCAGGGACACCATGTAGCCTATTTAACTTTATGCTGCTGCTAAGTAAACATGAATATATTGTTACATACTGGGTGTGAATTGCTTCACTATAATCACTGCACAGCGATATCTTTCACTCATATAAATAAGATCCTCTATCGAAGTGACAACGTGTTCTGGAAGAAAAAAAAACATCAGTGAAATATTGCTGCACTGACTTATTCTTCAAGTAAATGTCAGTTCTATGAAACTATGAAAAGTAACTATGAAAAGAGCATGTTTTGGTCTGGTAACAGGTACTTCAGTTATTTCAAAGTGATAGTCAAGTAACCAATAGATATGTTTGGCCTAATATGTTCGACAAGAAGGCAAGTCTGTAGGCTATTTTACAGAAAAAAAATTCAGTGTTTAAGCAGTAGTTATGTCAAGCGAATAAATCTTCTGCCCAGCTTAGTGTCATTATTTTCTCATTGTGGTACATAAGCTCTCCTGCCACGAAGGGCGCCCACGCTATCGGCATAATATGGTAATTTTGATAGGAAAGCGGCATAAGTTGGGTTTTCAGAAATGAAGCTTGTGCAAAAAAGAATGATGATTAGTGTATCACACAAATTCTTCCCCAAATACTCGATTTATTTATGCGAAGATAATATAAACTATAAGTTAACTTGTAGCAGAAGGACTCTGCAGACGTTGTAATTGACATGCAAGGACGATTATCTGTCAAATATGAAGTTGCGATACTGTCATATCGAACCTCTGGCGCGTCCCGATGTAGAATCGACAAGAGGCATGTGACAGGCGAGCAACATTCCCTTCGCGCTCGGGTAATGAGAGAGAAGGTGAGACTAGCAAAATGGAGAGGGGCAGCGTCGGAGCTTGATAAAGCAAAAGCTGACAAAAAAGTCCAGGCTTCTCAACGAAGTGAGTTATGTCGAGTTGGTAAAGCAGGGTGCTAAGACCCATATTGCCTTCGTTGAAGTCACCAAATGGTACAAAGGTTTGTTCTTGTAGGGGTTTTCTATTGTTTCACTACATGGAGATTGATATTAGAGTAATGTTAATCCTTTTTTTTTGTCTCCGACATGTTAGCCGAGCGTTTTCCCTATTTAATGCTAATTGAGTGACTTGAAGTGACATAAAGAATCTACTGACGAAGCTAGGCCCTATAAGGTCCATGATGCCAACGTTGAAGTCACCGATTAGGGCAGACTGTTTGTGTAATAGGACGTTTTATATTGTTTTGTTAAAAGTATGAGTGATATTAGTATACTGTTACCTCTTTTCTAGAGTCTCACATAAGATTCTGCCGTAGCCGTGTGCACGGACGCCAATCGAATGGACAAGCATCGTCCTTATGGTGCTTCGGCCCTAAAGGAATGAACTAGCGAAAACTTTAAGGTCACTGCAGTGCGCAAGAAACAGGGCCTGACATCCGGCATCCTCATGGACTAGAGTGAGTGAAACAACTTTATCGTTCATCCTGCATGAAGGAGGAAGAGGTAAGGGAATTAAAAGATGCTAGCATGCTCGGCAGTCCTGGAGCAGCAACTTACTAGCGTCTAACTCATGGGGGCACCGCTTTCGGCTGCTGGTGTTCCTGGAAGCCAAGCACCTGCTGCACCACGTCTCTTTGGTTGCTTGGCTCTTGGCTCATGATTTCACTGCTGATGTTAGTGGGCGTTGCTTCTTGGTTACCCGGTGGTGGCGTACAGTCGCAGAGGAAATGTCGCTGTGTGGCTCGCGTCTTTTTCCGGAGTTGGCGTACACCGTTGAAGTGCAGCCTCGCCGAAACCTACAACGCAGTGAAGCAGCCACACTGCGGCAGTTGCCCTCACGGACTTGGTTTTTCCGGCGCGCCTACTCCTCAATGCGTTGGCAAAATTGCTGAAGTTCGTGCACGAACTTGGTATACTTTTATTCAGAAAGCAATTATATAAAATGCTCATATTATGCCACCATCGGCGTCTTATCTTGTGTGAATTTCAAATTGATAAGATTTTCCTACTTATCGTATGTACGATTTGTAATTAAAAGCACTGCGAGGCGTGCTTCCGGCAACACCTATTGCAACTGTGAAACACTCCAGCTGAGCGAAGACGCATGTAGGGCTGCTTAAGGGTGGGCGATGTGGCGGGTGCTGCGCTGCCCTGGCAGCTGTAATTTGAATCAAACAGCTGCGCTCGCGCTCGGCCATGGATGCGCTCTTCTAGCAGAGTTCGAGAGATGTTTCGTACTTTAGGCACTGACGGAAACATAGTTGTCCAGTGTGGTGAAGCACGTTGCTGGGTACGCTGTTGTTGTGCGCAGTTGTTACCTGACATCAGCTACACGCTTTCCTTTATGCTTGCAGTGTAGCACAAGTACCTGTCGTGTCATCATGGCGTATGATTTTTATAGGTGTCATTCCAGCATCGGTGTTTGCAAATTTTTTTTCTGCAGTAAAAGGAAACACAGGTAGTGGGCTTGGCGCTCTAGGGAAGCGTATTTGTAGAAATGGTGCAGGAAATTACATGGCGCACAAGATTCTGTCCAAGTGAAGATGTCTTTAATAAACGCTTTCGAATTAGTAGTGCAATTTTTTATATGTAAAAGAGGAGCGATGTGGGCTCTCTTCTTTCCCAAAGAAAGTGGTATAGCACTCTCATAATAGCTACTTCTTCCAAAAAAAAAGTTATGCCGTTGTCTAAAAGGCAAAGTTACGAATGCCATAGCAACAAATTGGAATTGCACACAGAAAATTTAAAAACTGCAAACTTTCACAGTGCCTCTAAAGTACAAGAAAGGACGTGCGCAAAAAAATATACACAATTAGCATTGCGACATACTTTTTCAGCTTGACAAATGCACCACGCTGCTCAGAAACAAGGAAGGACACACAAGTGGAACACAGACGTCTAGATAAAACGAGTTCGAAATAACAACAGTCACAACCTGACCATAGCAGCACGCTTATAAAAGATGTAGGTACGTATATTATTGTGGGGTATGCAAAGGAAAGAAAGAGCACCGGCCCGTGCCACAATGTATAACCGGGCTTAATTCAACAGAAAAGGAAAATGAAGAGGGTCCAGCCCGAAATTAAACTCAAAGAACGAGGCACGAAAATAACACGTGGGTGTCGACAGGACGAGTGCGAAACAACAAAATTCACCACTCGACACTTGTACTACGCTCCTGAAACGCAAAGATAGAAGCACACGAGCACGAAAAACATACAGATGTAAACAGGACAAGTACAAAATAACAGTCGTATCCCACTACTCAAACAGGAAAAGGAACCCACAACAATAAGACACAGATAATAACTGGACAAGAGCAAAAGAACTTTCCGTGCTCGACAACTGCTGTGCACTGCTCAAAGACAAAGAGAACGCACGAAAAGAACACACGGGTGCTGCGAGGACCCGTACGAAATGACAACTGCCTCAGTACACTTGCCCCGCACTGCTCAACCACACGAAGGGACGCTCAGAAAGAACACTCCGGTGTATGCAAGACGAGTGCGAACTAAAAGATGTCAGGGGTTCTGTCAGAGGTCAGGAGAACTAAAAGATGTTAGGTGTGTCATTCCTCATGAATGAGCAACATCTTGCAAGTGTGGACTATGTACAAACAACTAGACTCTTTTTTAGCTGTTCTTGCTAGCTGATCACTTCTTTAGATTGCAGGATTACTGCAGAAAGGGACATTGCGGTGGCGCAGCAAAGTGCGAAAGGTCACAGATTTAAAGCACAGTGCTTCAAAAAGACATTTATCTAGCGCGTTTTGATTGTGATATATATATACAAACTGATGCGAGCAGCATACCCTCGTCCAGGTCGCTTCTACATCCTCCCAAAAATTCATAAACCCGGTAACCCAGGTCGACAAATCATATCAGGCATCGGTACTGAACCCATATCAGGGTACGTAGACAAACTAATAAGCCACATTCCATGCACCCTCGCGTCGTACATAAAAGACACCACACATTTTCTTCGAGACATTGCAGGTCTGTGTGTGCCGAAAAACTCGTATTTGGTTACTCTTGATGTCTCTTCATTGTATACAAATATTCATTACGACGATGGCATAGCTGCATTACAAAACATGTACACAAAGCATAGACAATCTAACACCCCAGATTTCTCTGCCATCGCAACTTTGACGAGGATGGTCCTCGGATTAAATTTATTCGAGTTTAACCAAGAGTATTTTCGACAAATCAGCGAGACCGCTATTGGCACCAAAATGGCACCTAATTATGCCAACGTATTTATGGGAAAGCTAGAATCTGAATTTCTTGCACAAAGTTCCTTGAAACCAATGTTATACAGAAGATACATAGGCGACATCTTTCTTATTTGGACCCACAGCGAGGACGAACTTCTCAGCTTTATAGACACTTACAATGCTGTACACCCGAACATACACTTCACACACACATACTCGCAAGTTACCGTAAATTTTCTTGATGTTACCATAACGATAGAAGAAGAGAAGCTCTCTACAACCCTATATCGCAAACCAACGGATCGACAACAATACCTTCATTACCAAAGCGATCACCCACGCCACTGTAAAAACAGTATTCCATACAGCCAGGCTCACCGGTTTAAGCGAATCTGCTCTAGAGACGCTGACTTTGACACGAGCTCACAGAGGCTAAAACTAATGCTCGAGAAACAAAAATACCCCCACATGTAATTAATGAAGCTGTTCAAAAAGCGAGAAAACTAAAGCGTGAAGACTTACTTATGAAGCGACCACCGCAAGAAGACCCACAGCGAACAAACCTCTGCTTGACTTACAGCACAAACTTTCCCAGTGTAAACAAAATCCTTAAACGACATTACAACATTCTGGAACAAAGTGAACGTCTGAAACGCGCATTCCCATCCGCTCCAGGCGTCGTTTACCGACGACCACGTAACCTCATAGACACACTTGTCCACTCTCAAATGAACACATCACCCCCCAATAATTCATGCCGACCTTGTTTAAAGCCACGATGTCTTGTATGTAAGGCGATGTGAGAAACACACAGAGCAACCAGCACACAATCCAAGTTTTCGATTAAAATACGAGGAAACCTAACATGCGATTCCTCTAATGTGGTATACCTACTCGAATGCAACGTGTGTGGTATGCAGTACATCGGACAAACAGAAGCACCATTTAGGATTCGCTTCAATGATCACACAGCTCATGCGAAATCAGCCGCAAGTCTACCTCTATCAAAACGTCTCAATCTTCCCGACCATGCATTCGACAAACTATTAGTAACGCTCTTAGAGACGGGATTTAAATCAAATCGAGAACGTGAACAACGAAAGTCATACCTTATCCACCGATTTAACACCCCCGATAAAGGAATAAATGAAAATCCTGGTACACTTGCAGCAATTGAAGCATTAGTAAACAATAACGGCAATAATGAAAATAGTAACTGAGTTCATGGCACTGCAGCTGCGAAGGGCACTGGACAACTAAAAACAATTCCAAGTCTAACTACTTTTCCTAAGTGCAGCTGTCATCTGTTTTCTGTTTTATTTTACTACCCAATCAATTGTGCCATGCATGACATGCCCAACAGCAACCCTGTGCACAGCCGGGAGGCCCCCACTGCACGCGTAATCCAGAAGCGGGCAAGAAATTCGCATTGCGCCTGCTTACCAGCCTCTGCCGCAATACGCGGCACCCCTCTTTTTACGACGAAATGTTGACGGGGCGCCGAGCAGTTAAAGGCTTAGAACTTCTTAAAATGCCCGCTTACCAGCCTCTGCCACAATACGCGGCACCGCTCTTTCTACGACGAAATGTTGACGGGGCTCCGAGTAGTTAAAGACTTAGAACTTCCTAAAAAAGCTCTTTTTTGCCCCACACCGAACCGCCAGTGCCAGGAGGCGCCGTCTGGTCGGGAAGAATGCGTTAGTGAAAGGAAGCATACACAGACCGCTGACATCAGAAAGGTGAAGGGGAGAAAAGGGGGAGAGATGAAGGGGGAAGTGGAAGGAAGAGTGGAGGGGGCGCCCGAGGGGAGTCCTCCTTATAGTTCTTTTTCTCTTTTTTTCTTTTCTCTTTTTATTCTGTCTTTTTTCCTCTTTCCTTTCCCTCTGGTTTGAGATTGTATAAAGCTGAGCACCAACAAACTGTACCTTTAATCCTGATGAAGGCCAGACTCTAGGCCGAAACGTCGAAATAAACCACGTTGTGACCGCTCACGGAGGATCTACTGGACTATATGCAACGCTACGGCCACTCAACCACCATGCCTGCCTATATATATATATATATATATATATATATATATATATATATATATATATATATATATATATATATATATATATATATATATATATATATATATATATATATATATATGAAGAGAGAGAGGCAGAGAGGGAGAGCGGGACAGACTTTTCAAAAGTTCTTTTATTTGCTATTACAGGACAGATCAACAGATTGTGTGCCCTAACCGCGCAATGTTTACTGTTCAGCCGGCCCGAACCACTGTGCTATCGCGTAATACTTGCGCTTATATACTGTACTGGAAGCTCACGCAATGCTATACTGAGAATCAGATCTAACTACAACGTCACCGTATTAATGTGGCTGCTGTATTCACAAAGTGGCTTTTTTGCCGCAGATGCTTTCGAGCTAGAACTTCAATGGCATTGTACTTTAGAGCTTTTTTTTAAATTCGCCTATAAAGTAGATCGTCATGATTTTACACACAGAATTACAATGGCACTGTTTTCGATACCTTTGTTGCTGACCTGCATCACTTCTTTACGTTGCTTTGAAAACATTCCTTCAAGCTTCTGAATGCTCCGATGCCTAAAGAAAAAGTTGGGGCTCAATTCGTAATCTTCATTAAGTGAGAGACATGGAATTCTTACCAATGATCGTCGGTGAAAAATGACCTTGTGAAGAACATACTCATGTTATGGTAGCTTTTCATGTGGTCACACTTGCACATAATGAAGTCCGTAGAACTCGTGTTGTATGTCCATATACGATCCCTTGTACATACAAACTGTAAGAAAAGATAATTTTCTTTTTATTAGTTGGTTTGTGTTTATAGTACTTTTGTTCTTGATACGAAAATGAAAAATCTTCTATATACGAGCTTGTCATGTAGCGCCAAACGTGGGGCATTGGCTTTCCAAATATGCATGGCTTCTAGTTAACAAAAGGAGGCAGATGATCCTGAGAGCTGGTTTTCTTATTAGGCACAGGCTACAAGAGCCTGCAAACTATAGATTTCAAACGACGTAGCAGTAATTAAAGCATATATAAACCAAATGAAAGTAGATAGAAATGAAAGTAACGTCCTGCTAGGGTTGATAATCCTTATGGCAGTGCAGTGCAGGGCAGTCTCGTTCTTGTTTTCTTTTTTTGGTCTTCTTTTCGAAGCCTCATCTGTTCTTTTTCTACCTTTTTGCTTCTTTTGCCTTTTTTAGTTTTTCATTTTCTTTGTTTCTTCTCTCTTTACCCATTTTTGCTCTTTCTTTCTGGTACTGTTTTGATTTTTGAGTCTTTCTATTCCTTGCTGGCCTCCTATTTTTTGTTCTTTTTTATACGTGGTTTCGCATGCGCTCCGCCAATCGAGTTAGCTATTTGTTGCTGATAAAAATAAGCGATCATCATCAAGGCATTTGAAGAAGAAGGGGAAGAAGACTTTGCCATTTCATTTCTATATTTTTGGTTTTCATTGACATACCTTACCTAAAATAACATCTAACAGTCTCTACCTCGCATTCTTGGCCGATTGCCTAGTGTGGGTACGTGCCATTTGTCGAAAGACACAAGCCCGAGAAACAAGAAAGGAAAATAAAGAAAAACTGATGAAGGCTTAGTCGTTTCGTAAAACCAGGTAATTATTATTAATATTGCTAATGCTATAATATTATTATTTCTATTGTCATTGTCGCTTCGTTGTTGCTGTTATAAAGTGATAGGACAGGTATGCCACTAGAGAAAAGAAAAAGAAAACGTAACTATAGCGTTAGGTATTGACTACGGAGGTTGACACCCAGTGGAACAAATGCATCGATGGCGAAACGTAGTCCCTGCTCATCGCAAGCACAACAGACGACATGCCAAGGCCTGACGTGCACTACAGGCAATCGCCTACACTCACTTACAGACTTCGCAATGTTTTTTATAGACAACATAGTGACGAATATCCGTGCCACGAGTTCACCTCTGCACTATAGGTGGCGAGAATTTTAGATTTCTACGGCATTTTGCTTGTCAATGGGCACTTACTCAGCACTGGACGCTGACCCGGACGGCCAATGACCCCGTCTTCAGAGAGCATCGCCGAGTGCCTGAGAGGGAGGCGATCGGTTTTTAAGCTTCAGTCGTCTGGGTGGGACCTCTCTGGACCTATTTAGTAGCATCTGACCATACCAGTGGTGAATCCACTGAAGAGGTAGGGGCGATCTAGCTCTTCCCCCCAAGGCTTGTCGGCACCCCTTCCCCCTCTATTTAGGGCTTGCCGTCCACTTGCTGTCACCAATCAGGACAAATGAGTGGCACTGCTTTGACCACATATTAACAGTATTTGGCTATGACAGAGTTTTAGTGCTCGTAAAAACAAAAAAAAAGTAATGACCATGCCCCCATCTCTAGTGTTACTTCAAGCAACCGCCCCCCTCCGCCCTCCCCTTTAATGAGTCGCTGGATTCACTCCTGGACAATAGACACCACAATTACATTACAGATTAGCCCAGCAGACACCACCTCACCAGTGCTTACAAAGGCACTCGTAGATTTGTCGTCAGAGGCACGACTCACCAAACATATCCTGAAGAGCTAGTGGGTGGACCCTGACCAGACCCGGGCAGCCACACTATCTAGTAGGGCCTCACGAAAGAAGCCTCATGTACTGTACCCTACTGCCAAGAAGCCTTACTTAAATACATATGATTCTTGCTGTCATCAACGTTCATTACGAGAGATAACGATGCCTTGTTTTGCCTTGTTGCAGTGCATTACCCGCCTATCATTAAGACATGCAACGTGAAAAAAAGTAACAGCAAATGTTTGGCACCCATTAAGCTCTCAACGCAACAACGAGCGTGACTGTTCCTTAGTCCACTCAGATCACATCCAATATCTACGTAACTATTTGTGACGCAGTCCATTTACCTTTTTGATATCCGGTTTCTTGCATATCCCTTTTACGCATGCAAACAAACCATTCAGTGGTGATACTAACGGTAAAAGAAGAATTGCCGTCGAGATACACTTTTGAAACATCGTTTTGAGGGTGACTTCGTCGTGGCATTGAAGTGTTGTTTCCGTAGAAAGCCTACGTATGTTGCCAACACGCTAGTCCTTACGGGTGTCACTGTTGCCAGAGGTTCACAGATGTTCAGCGAAAAAACGTTTTGACCAGTTGAAAGAAGTGTGGGCCTAGGTTGCGGTTCTCTTCGAAGGCGGTTTGCAGCGGCTTCCCCATTCCTATGAAAATAAATCTTTCATTGTTTCTGTTCGGCTATTGTATTTCCAACACCTGTACCCTGCTATGACCACCCACAGAGAAAGCAATAATAATATCTGCAGAATAGTGCAATTGTTTTGTAGGTGTGTCAGAGGAAAATATTAGGGGACCCTTAAGCTTCTCCTTTAAGAGTTGAACGCGATAGCGATATTCTGTCGCTAGTGCGTACTTCAAACACTTAGTGCATCAAACCTTTTTGAACTTCCCATGCACCCACAATGCGCTTGCTCTAACCACAGTGGTGAATACATGGTTGGGGCGTGAGCTTCTAATGCGGGAGGTGCCGAGTTCGATTCCCAGTTGCGATTGCTTAATCACCAATTTTTCAAATTAGGTCGCGGAGTACACCGACCTGACGCTTGGTTGTTTCTAGGTGGTCAAGGCGATTTCTTTCTAGTTTATTTTGTGTTCCTACTGCAGTGGGTGACTGATTTTAAACCATGAAGTCATTATGGTCATCACACGTTCTGATGCTCGATGTTGATGTACACTTGTACCACACATTATTACTGCAATTCAACAATTCACGTTGAATTGTTAGGCAGACATACACGACCCCTGCGTTTGTAAAGCATGAGAGTAACTTTCACAACATTTCCAAGCAGGGGAAGTTTTTTTTTTTTGTATTCACAAGCACGCGCATGGCTGTGTGGTAGAACAACCACTCGCCATGCAAATGACCGGGGTTAAATCCCCAATCGGACCCAGATTTTGTATTATCAATTTTATTTGCATCTTTCTGGATTTTTCGTTCACGCAATGATGATTATTTTTCGCTCACAACCAACGACACCAACACCGACACTGCAATTTCTTGAAAAAAGCTCTTCGACGCTGTCGTAGTCAATGCATTTTCAGGGAACATATCACAGGTTATGGCTGTAAAAAACAACACTATATGCTATCCAAATATACGAGCAACATTGTAATGGGTGACTGAGACATTTGCTTGAAAAAATAAAGTAACACGGAATCATACCAAGCGGAATTTCGTCTTAAGTGGAACTTGCTTTAGGCACCTAGCCAATTCTTATTTGTGGCTACCTTATCCGAAAACATGTCTCTTTTCATTTTCTTGGCCGTGTCTGGCAAGTTAATCTCACCAAATTGTTTCCCACGAGTCTTCTGTATAAAGCAACAAAACACAACACTTCCACAGAGTGGTGACATGCTAGTACATAAATTTATTCAGTCAAAAACGTACACCAATGCATTTGAGAGCTGAAAATTTTGAATGACGTAGATCCCACACCTGTTTTCATTGTAGGATTGTGTCCTGAAGTCCTCAGCAAATTGGGACTTGTGCAACTTTCTCCTCTACTTGACAGAAACAGTCCACACCCCAACGTCCCTAAACTGACAGAAAGTGATAGTAAGGTTTATCACATTTTTCAAAGTCTTCTGCGCACCTTTCTTTGCGGCACTCGCGAAAACCATTGAAGTAAACGCCTGTTAACTTGACTGTCATAATACCAGCAAAATCATCCAAATTAATGAATGCTGAATTACCAGAACTACCAAGAACGCAATGAACAACTCTATTACAGCACTGCGTTTTCCTTTCCTCGATGAACAGGTAAATTCAGTGCTTACGTTCAATAAGAGAAGTGTTAAAACTGCCCATTTTGTCATTCGCAACATCACTGACGTGAGTGCGGCTGAAGACAGCAGTCTTCAGCTGAAATGTGGTCAACCGCCATCACAATTAAGCACATCAAAATTATTTCACCGCAATAATGGCTGAACACTGATTATTGATTTATATAAAGTTCTTACAACAGCACGTAACACCTACTACTTGACAACAGTCGAAAGAGGCGCCTGCGGAGAGCGATGGTATCGCGAGAATGGCAGTGGCACCGCCTCTAACATGGCGCCGAAACGAATGGGCCCACGAAACAGCGGCAGGTATTCCGTTTTAGCGCATGGTAAACACCGAACCCCAAGTTCGAAGACTATGAACTTACCTTTGTATCTGCTCTTAGACCATTGAGAGTTCTCTAAGTCAATCGTAGAGCTGTACAAAGGCTGAACCACGGAGATCATGCCATGAAAGGGGTAGGAATCGCACGCATCATTCGTGCTATTGGTCGCGTGCACAGAGCTGCTATGAATAAAAGGCGAAACAACACAACTACGGCAATTTTTTTTAATTTAGTAAATGCGAAGTTCATATGTACATTTACCTAACAAAGATTCCATGATGTTGTTACTGAAAGCAAGGAATATTTATGCTTTTTTTGCATTGTTTGAGGTTTTCAATTGCTTGTAAAATGGCGCTGTGTTCAAAAGAACACAGTTGATCGGAATTTCTGTCACTCAGTAACACACACAGCTTTCCTAGTTTTGAAGACTTCAAATTTCAATTGAGTTTGTGATCTGTATGCTGAAAATATACTTCGTCGTCATTGTTTTCTAATTGTTATAGTATGTACACTAATTCATTTTTGTGACTGGTTGATCATCTAGTGAAGCGAAATGTAGCTAGTTTCATTCTGTGTGCGATGGGGGTCAAGCCACAGTCAGCAATATAAAAGCAGCATTAGAACGCAAGATGTGTACGGAACTACGTTTTTTATGAACTCATGAGACAGGATATCTTTAGGATATCTTATGCGGGGCATTTTCAAGTCAAATCGTAAGGGATGCCCATTTTTTATCTCTCACAGGCCCATTGATGTCCGCGGATGTTCGGGGTTGCTTAGGATGTTCAACGGTATGATGTTTTCATTGGGTACGTGCATTGTGGGACGCAGGTTGCTGCACAGTTCTGTTAGAGCCTATGGGTGTTGGATTATCCCAAACACTGAATAAGAAATGAATATCTTCTGCGCAGCTGGTGGTTTGGAGGCCTTGGCCTCTGGTGCCTTTTACCGCGGCTAAAATAGCCTGTGAATCATGTCGCTTTTTGCCGGAACCCCCTGACCACAGCAATGTGTAGGTAGACTCTTCTATCTGCCTTCGGTAGATTGCTTTGCTTCGTCCGGTCCCGGGAGCCAGCGAAATCAGTTTTCCTTATTGCGGTATCTTCCAGACCAACCTATTCTCTCTTTATCGCGGCAGGCTTTTGAAGTTGTACCTGAGCTGGCTACGCGCAGCTTGCCACACTTATTGCGGAAAAATGTACCCACGAAATTTTCCGTAGTTCACGTGGAAGTTGAGCTAAAGAAACTAAAGCCCCTCGCGGAAGCGTGAACATTGCGTCGTGCGGGCACTTTGTGCAAACTTAGCGTTCGTTTGCGTGATGCACGTTTTTTGACGTACTTCAGATTACATACAAACTGCTAATTGGATGGTGCGGAGTAGATCCGGGACATATAGGCGTTCCGAAGGCAACGTCGTAGGATTCGGGTTGTAGTATGAAAGGTTGGGACTGTCCCGCAAAATACTGGACGGTTGGATAACCCTATAGTGCCTACCGTGCATCCAACTGCCACGCTTTGATTGTTAAGCTTTACTCGTACAAAAGTCAAAATAACATTTCCTTTGAGACTGCAATGTTGGTGTGCCAATGTGTCTGCGTCCGCACATTTCTCCCCCTGTACGTGACTATAAAAAATAAATTGTGATAACTTGCTCGAAGGCCGCCTCGCACTCCCCCTTTTCCGACTCGAATATATTAAGCTGTTTTTAGGCAAACATGCTATGTGTTCGATGCCGATACGAACTGCGTAAAAGTTTTTGCCCCCCCCCCCCCGCCCCCACCAGCCAACAGCGAATCCTTATAAAAAGCACCCCCGCCAAGGTACTCGGCTGCTAACCTGTAGGTCGCGGGATCAAATCCTGGCGGCGGCGGCGGCGGCATTTTTGGTGCACGCGGAAATGCTGTACGCCCGTGTGCTCAGATTTGGGTGCACTTAAGCCTTTTGAGGTCTTTGGCTTAATAAGAACCCCAGGTGGTCGGAAATTTCCGGAGCCTTCCACTACGGCTTATCTTATAAAAATTTGGTAGTTTCGGAACGTTAAACCCTATATATCGATCCATGTCTTATATAAAGCATCAGCTTCTACATCCTTGAGCTTTGCTGGAGCTAGATCATAGGGCTTGGTGAGGGGGCGTGATGTATTGTTCATTCATCACAGTGCATCCGTGTTGCTGTCAAACGCTAGAAGCATAATGGACAATGCGTAATTAATTACACTCCTTAAGAGCATGCGCTGACATCATAGCTCTAGCAGAAATTGCACTTCACCCTCGTGTGTGCGACGATGATATATTTTACGACTCATGTCGTTTTGCTATTTACCGTCGTGATCGCACTTGACCATACACGGGGTATGTGTTTTTCTAGCCATATTTAAGAATCAACGCCATACAAGAAGGGTGTGGAGAAGGAGGAGGGTAATGCCACCAGCTTCTTATTCAGTGTTCGCACCACTAGCGCTGGCTGCCCCAACTTCTTTTAAAGTGGTAGCGTTAAAAGGTTGTTTCTTTGAAATTCCGCTGGCTGCGTTGGTGTCACCTGATCTGAGTGAGATATCATGATCTTGTTCGTGACCGAAAAATTGAGATTTGAAAAATAAAACGAATATCAAAACATTCCGGGTCCGAGTAAGGATAGAACCCAAGATGTCTGCCTGGTAATTACGTGTTATACCACAGAGCCACGGGAATGGTTGACACTACGGGGAAAAAACACTAGGAATGTGATCTAGCGAAACGAGTCTCTTTAGCGCGTCATATATTGCGTGGCGGAAGTGTATAATCACGCCAGGCACCAACTGATGCTTGAATTGAGGAACGAGTGGGTGTGTTTGAAAAGGGCCACACATTACAAAACAGTAAGACATATTTAATATGTCCAACGTGTCAACTTGTCCTTCAGCACACTCGCTTAACGATAGCAAATACATCACAAAGAGTATTACTTGGTATTTTTGTATTTTACGCGTGCAAATGAAAACTTGAGCCAAATTTAATTTAAAAAATAATCATCGGAAGCAGAACCAGTGACCATCTGCGTAAGTTCGTGTGCTGCCCTACAAACTCGTAGTGAGCCCTTCGCTGATTCTCGTAGGGAATAATTGTGGCGTAGGAGGCATTTCAGAACTGTGCACTCATTATGCATTCAACACTTTGAAATGACCAGCGTTACTTGCAATGTAATGGTTTCCTTACAACACGGTGGAGACATGCATGAAGAACCTAAACGGGCTAGCAGTTCAGAAGGCGATGTGCATGAGGCTTGATTACGCTATTGTGATTTTCTTTTCAGTGAAGATGAAGCATCCTTCGAAATTTTCGTCTTCACAATAAAGCACTTCTTGACTTTCGCATTGTCTTTTTTGGAACAAGAAAACAAAAAGCAACAAATAACTCACGCAAAAAGTTTTTAATTCGTTCGCATGTGTTCGCTCATTGCGTCCACCGAAGACTTAGGTGGACGAAATAACTTTATTAGGTCCACAATAGATTTGAAATAACTCAGTGTCATCTGGCTAGGCCCACTCAGGTACGGTAAGGTTTAACCTGACCGCCCTCGCGCAGGCCTTCTGGACGGCCATGATTGGAGAGTTGGGGTCCTGAGATTTAATCACTCGTCCATTTCCTCTTCTTGGAAAGGGGGACCGGTAAAGGCACAGCCCCACAGGAGATGTTCGAAGTCAGCATAACCACCACGAAAGGGGCGATCCGTACTTGAGAACCATTCGGGGTATATTGTGGGCAGTGCCCCAGGGCTCGGGTAGGTTCTTGTTTGCAGCAGCCTGAGTGTAAGAACTTGGGCCCCGCACACCTAGGTGTGTGGCAGGGGAGCACTCTTCTTCAGAGATAACGGGGCTTACATATCGTGTACGTTCAGAGAGGCTGGAATCGCCCAAGAAATGACGCGTTACCGAGCACGCGTCCAATCAAACCTCGTGCAGCCGAATGCCCCCCTCCTCGTTCGGATTGATCGAAGGACCCTCGATTGGTTCAAGGTGTGCACGAAACCGGACTAATTACTGATTTTCGATGTATTTGGCTTTTTTAAGCTTCTGTAGGACCTGGGGAGCCACCATAACCGTTTGAAATGACTTGATAGCAGCCTTGGAATCCGAATAAATTGCGTTGTGTACACCATCCGTCAATGCAAAAGCAATCGCAACCTGCTATGCAACACTCGTGCTAGAAGCGTGAATGGCAGCGAAGCTCATTTCTTCAGAAACACAGTCAACAACCACTGACGAGAACGCTTCTTTTTGAGCGTAAGAATCAGCATCTAAAAATCAGGCTGGTTCCTTGTCCAAGCGGGCACTGGTGAGCCGAGCTTTACCCCTTGCTCATCTTCATGCTGCGTTGTAGGTTGGTTGCATATCGTGAGGCATATGCTGTATAAAAATCTTGGACCTTAGTTCGTTGGGCTTGCTTAACAGCATCAGGACCGACGACCGCGCGGGGTTGCATCCGAGCACGCCGAGTATGACCCATCCGCGGGGTTGCCGGACAGTGTGACAAACTGTGAAAACTCTTTGGTCTAAACTCTTTGGTCGTGGAATTCATGACCAAAGAGTTAAGTAGGAAGTTTTCGCCGCGGAAAGCCAGGTTTTGTCAGTACCTTTCATTGCAAAGGCCGAAAGCTTTTTCTCATATTTTTTGAACCTTGCCCCTCGGGGCAAGCAGAGCTGGTCTGTTTTATTGCGCTGAAGAATAGCTTATGTCGTATAACGTTTACAAACTACGACTCACCACGTACTTCCCTTTTTTTAGGCCCGAACAACGTGAATAACCTACGATTCTGTTTGAATTACTCTAACGGGCATTTCTGACACAAGCGACTGAGCTATAATGATGGCAATATGTAGCTCTGTAGCCCCACCGATGTGGTATAGTGGCTAAGGTACTCGGCTGCTAACTCCTGGTCGTGGGTTCGAATCCCGGCTGCGGCGGCTGCTTTTCCGATGGAGGCGGAAATGTTGTAGGCCCGTGTGCTTAGATTTGGGTGCACGTTAAAGAACCCCAGGTGGTCGAAATTTCCGGAGCCCTCTACTACGGCGTCTCTTATAATCACATGGTGGTTTTGAAGTGTTAATACCCACATATCAATCAAATAAATATGTAGTACTGTATATTTCTCTCTAGGTACGTTTGCTTGTTTTTTGAAAGAGGCTGACAAATATATATCAAGTTTCAACTCTACATGTACTTTCTTGCGTGCAAGAGACAGCTCATAATTCAGAAACCAACAATAGAGCTAAGCACGGTCCTGATTTCTGTCCATTCTGTCTGGTCCTAGCAAAAAAAAAAAAAAAAAAACCCAGAAAAATCCGGGTTTTGCCCGGTCCGGCCCGGGAATATGATGGCTTTCTACGTAGTCATCGATGATATCGTTTTACAATATAGTGCCAATTTTTCAACATATAAAAGTGAAACGTAAGCAAAAGACGCATGACAGTCACGAAGAAGGCTTTATGGGGTGAATAAAAAAAAACAAGGTAGCTCAAGCCCAGCCCGGGGACGAGATGAAGAGGCACCGGTCCACTCTAGCCTCGCCCACGGGCTGGGCCTGGAGTTGAGCCTTCGGGGCTACTCAGAGCTCGTGCACACGTCTATTCTACGATCATTGAAGCGCATAAGAAGGCGCTACGGATTCTTTCGGCAGAGAGCAAGAAAAAGCAAGCAATGAAACAAACAACGCACTATACCCCATAGTTTTATATGATCAAGAATCCCGTGTAAGTTCTCTAAGAAAGAAATACGCTATCCCACAGAAAGTTTAGAGCGCATTCCTTATAGCGTGCATTTCTTTATATATCACAGCCGATTCGAATTTTACTATGCTGAACTTTATTTTCGCTGAGGTTCCTTGTTGCCCTCATGACTCAACACCTTTAATGTATATCACTTAATATGAAGGATATTGTCACACAGTGGCCCATAAATAACCTTTCCTCTAGGTGCATGCTTCGCGAACTGTTGCACGCATTTAGGGTGAGGTCCTTGCTTTACCCACGCATCCCAAAGACGCAAGTCGAAGTACGGCTCCCAACCTGCGAAGGCACAGCAAAGGCTTTTCATTATTGACGCAACAGATAGCGCAACATTAATGAGGTACCAAAAAAATGACGCAGTGAGCACACTTGTGGCACTGGTCACTATTTAGCCGATTTACCACGATCGATGCTGAAGAGGAAACACATGAAGATTAACATTTAGTATGAACGAGGCGTTATTTAATGAACGCCAACAGTACATAAATATTTTGGTACTCTCCATGAAGGTGCTTATGAAGTTGGGAGCCAATCTTGTGTATATATGTGTCTTAATTCTTTATCTCGTCCGATGTGAATAGTGGCGTTGATAGCTAACAGATTTTTGTTTCTGTGACGTGCTTTAATGATATCGAATATACTTGAAACTGTGCACTGCAAAAATCACTCAAATATTACTGGATTCACTGTTAGAATGCGCCCATGTTTTCTGAAAACACTATATACTCCTTCCGATAGCCCATGCGATCGCCCACGTGATGAAAAATAGTTGTTTGCTGTCCCTAGACTTATTACTTACCAAATTGTTCTTGCGAGACTTTCATTACTGCGCACCGGTAGCGCATGTTCACATATAGCATCTTCTCCTTGGTAATAAACATGCCTCCTGAAAAACGACATCCGACCAAATAGAGTCTTTGATTCAGGTAAAATGAGCTGAAATAGTGATTGCCCTAAGTTATGAAACATAGACATTTGTATACATTTGTTCTAGCTTAGGTAATCTCAACAATATCTTTGTAACTTCGAACGCCAATTAAGGCTATAGTCTATGTTCTTTGTCAATCGTAACTACTATTCAAGCAACTGCGAATCCTACGATTGCATCCGGAATTCTCGACACGAGTGTTTCGCCTTGTTTGAAGCACCTTGTGGTAAAGAAAACTACTTCATCCTACATTTGTGTTTCCTTAACGCTACGATCTGGTCAGCTTCTGGTGAGTGCGAAAGGTGAATCAGGAATAATAAGCTGATAATAAAGGAACTATAAAAAATACAGGAACTAAGCCGAACGAAAATCTGACAAGGTCCCTTACACATTTTACTAAATTGACTCCAGATCGAAAGTCATCGTTTTCTTCTCCGGAGGTGTACTCAACGCGACGCACCCTTTCGACAGTTTTCTTGACCTTAATCTTTTCTGCACATGAACTGCGTACAGGGTTGGAGATACTGCAGGCTTTCTGCGTCAATATGGTTATTAAAGCTTTCAACAAAAAAGTTTCTCGTGAATGAAAGGTACTGTCGGGCAAACGAAAATACGTAACTTAAAACAGAACAGACTATGCCTACTCCCTATATATCACTGTATATCCCCTGAAAGGGGATATACAGTGATAGTGTTACGGCGCTGACTCGATGGCTGGAAGGTGGGTTGAATAAGACATTGTGCGTAAACGTACCCTGAGCGTTACTCTTTAAATAACACTGTGGCATGACATAAGCCGCGAGGTTTAGGCAAGCGCCACAAACCAGCATCGCAGCACCCACTTTGAAAACATTAACTTTCGAGTAAATTTGCTTGCGGCATGTTCTACGTGCGTCTATCTTTCTGGATCTCATATTATCACGACACCAATTTTTTTATACAGTGTGATAGTGTTAAAAATGATATTATCACAGCAATGCAGAAAAGTGATTGTTTTTTTTGTATAAATATTATCGTAACTGTCGTTTTTGGCAAAATAGACGACCATTTACCAGCTCTCGCAACACTATGCTAACAAATGAAAATCCTTTTCAGGACTGATTCGGAATTTCCCTTTCCGTATTTTTCGATACGAGACGCAGTCATCTGCAAATAACCTAACCTGACAAGTTATGCCATTTAGGAGGAGCTAAGTAACGGTCAAAGTGCAAGCCTGAGTTATTCCAGAAAGAAGCCGCATTCTTCTGCAAACGCTACTTGCTAGCTGAACAAACTGCCGACGGTCAGTTAAACATATAAAACTTAATCCAGTGAAAAACAGGTCCATCCTTTAATATAAATTTATGTTTTACAAACCTTTCGCATGGCCGGCATTTAAAAGTCTGGAAGGTTTATATACATGTGTCCTGTCTTTAAATTTTTTTGTGAAATATAGCAGGATTGCACCAAGTTGTTTACCACGGGACAGACTAGCCCTGAAGCCATTTTGATAGGAATATAGAGCCATGTTCGTTTCAACTAGCTAGGTAACGGATTTCAGTATAATATGCTTCAAAGTTCTGCAACACGTACATGAGAGAAATTGAGTCTGTAATTCGACTGTAAAGAAGCATCATAAGATTTGCAATTTTTTTTGTAGTTGTAAATTTATGTGGCGAGCAATGTTCGGAAATTGATGGTTCTAGAAAAGGCATAAACATTTCTTACAGGCTCGAGGTACCGCTTCATGAAGCGGTTCAGGCCATTCAACTTCTTATCCTATAATTTCAAAAGAACACGCCTGTTTCGGTTAAAAGTGTTGCACTTAGTGCCTGATTTCGCTGGAAACTTTGTCGCATGGTCTTGAGTTACGCCAATGTCAGGGGAATAAACAATATAAAAAAACGTTAAACGCTTCTGCTTGTTTGTTTCTCTCTTAGGCGCCAACGGCTTTACAGGACGTTCTATGCGTTTAATATAACGCCAGAGTTTATGAATGCTTGATAAATTTGCTAAGCGTTATACCATGGGAGTGGTATCCTGCTATCTTTGTTTCTTCTTTTAGCAGTCCTTTTACCGAATTCATTTTTAGCAGAAGTATGGAACTGGGCATCACCTAATCCATTTCTTTATTGTTTCTATTCTGCTCTTGATCTCAATAACAGTGCGTGTAATAAATAGGCTGTGTTCTTTAGTGTTCTTTTGTATTTGAGAGAGAAAGAGAGAATTATTTTAATGGGAAGCTGTAGAGGTTTGCCTGGTTTTTTACCTGACAGGCTGCTCCAGTTGCTGGGTGATGACAGTGATATATACGATGATAAACGCACAACACATACAGTTACTTACATGCATAACAGTGACGCAACACATAGTCACTCACTATCTGTAGAACGTATTGCCTTAAGCAGTGCATAGCACCTGCTTTGAACAGCCGCCAAAATTCATCAGTACTGGCAGAGCCATATGAAATAAGTTCGCAGACGTTCTCGTTCTCATGGACAAAGTAGATGATCAATTTATAGCTTCCTCATTTGCTTTATTAAATGCATACTCAAGCCTTTTTCAAAATAAGTTAACCAGTTTTATCAGGAATGGCTATAGAGTACCAAAATGTAGTCTGAATATTGAATGAAGACACTGCAGCCAGTCAAGATTCGCGAGGTGTCACTGGGTGACACCATGGTCACACAGTGGTGCTGTAGAACTGATGCATGGTGTCGACAATGCTGCAGTTCACAGCAGTGTTGGGGCTAACATTAAACACCACACCTGCAGCTATGACGTCCCTTATGGCTCGAGCACGTACTTCTTTGCCACGTGTCGGTTCTGCCTCAATTTAATGCTTCGCGTCTTGCTCGGAGTTGTCTCCTCCAACTTCCGTCACTCTGCACCTGAACCTCAAAAGGGAGGGCTCTTAGAAAAAAAAAACGAGAACGTTGTCCGGCTCTTCAAAATCTTATTTGTTGACGTTTGTATGAGTAACCTCGATGTCCCGCGAGAGTGCCACAATGTCAGACTTTTCCCATACCAAGAGGCGACGCAAGATGCTCTAAAGCCACCTGGATGAGTTTTGCGAGTTGTCAAGGCATTCAGCAGATCTCAACAGGGAAGCAAGCACTCCGGGGTCTCAGCACAAAAAGCTAACAGTGGCCAACAACGTTACTGCGTAGTCCCATGAAGGAAGCTTCGAGAGTAAAGGTTTTTCAGTTCAAAACACACCACCACCTCTCCAAACTTCAGCTCCACTGGCAGCTACATCTATTTTCGCCTTCACTTAAGGCGAAGATAGATGTAGGGCACATATAACCATTTTCTCAGGCACTATAATGCGCACTCGTAATAAGTGATACCAACAACATGAGCACCAGCAGTTTTGTGACTATTTTGTCACATGACATCACACGATCACCACATCGACCAATTTTTTTCTATTCGTGAGCTTAAAGCAGCACTGGCTTTGTGTAGATAGACATCAGTACCCGGGCCTGATGGAATATCATACAGAGCACTGTGTCACCTTGGTGAGTGTGCGAAGACTGGCCTCCTCGAGATATACATCGATTCGTGGCGAGAGGGCACCCTCCCAGTTAACTGGAAGACCAGCCGTTTGGTTCCATTACTGAAGCCTGGCAAGTCACCGTTGGTGCTCACATCATACTGCCCGATTGCACTGGCTAGTTGCTTGGGCAAAGTGATGGAGAGGATGGTACTTGGAAGGCTAGAATGGTTCCTGGAGCATCGCAACATCTACCCGGACACTATGACGGGATTTCGCCGTGGCCGGTCATCAATTGATAGCGTCATAGACCTGGTCATCTACGTGCAACACGAAAAAGCCCGTAAGCGTCTCTGTGCTTCTTTATTTCTTGATGTTAAAGGGGCGTACGATAACGTCACACATGAAGCTGTCCTCACCGCTCTCAAGGACGTAGGAGTGGGTGGTCGGATGTTTCAGTGGCTACGTAGCTATCTCTCTGAGCAATCATTTTTCGTGGGAACCAAGTATCGTGACACTTCGCTACATTACAGCCACCGTGGTGTTCCCCAGGGTTGCATACTTAGCCCTGTACTATTCATCATCATCATCATCATCATCAGCTTGACTACGTCCACTGCAGGACAAAGGCCTCTCCCATGTTCCGCCAGTTAACCGGTCCAGTGCTTGCTGCTGCCAATATAAATTGGCAAACTTGTTAATCTCATCTGCCTTCTAACCTTCTGTTTCCCCCTAACCCGCTTACCTTCTCTGGGAATCCAGTTAGTTACCCTTAATGACCAGCGGTTATCCTGTCTACGTGCTACATGCCCGGCCCATGTCCATTTCCTCTTCTTTATTTCAACTATGATATCCTTAACGCCCGTTTGTCCCCTAATCCACTCTGGTCTCTTCTTCTCTCTTAAGGTTACACCTACCATTTTTCTTTCCATTGCTCGCTGCGTCGTCCTCAATTTAAGCTGAGCCCTCTTTGTAAGTCTCCAAGTTTCTGCTCCGTAGCTAAGTACCGGCAAGATATAGCTGTTACATACCTTTCTCTTGAGGGATAGTGGCAATCTACCTGTCATAATTTGAGTGCTTGCCGAATGTGTTCCACCCCATTCTTATTTTCTAGTTACTTCAATCTCGTCGTTCGGCTCTGCGGTTATTACCTGCCCTAAGTACACATAGTGTTTTACAACTTCAAGTGCACTATTACCTATCTCGAAGCGCTGCTCCTTTCCGAGGTTGTTGTACACTACTTTCGTTTTCTGCAGATTAATTTTAGGACCCACCTTTCTGCTCTTCCTGTCTGACTCCGTAATCATGAGTTGCAATTCGTCCCCTGAGTTACTCAGCAATGCAATGTCATCGGCGAAGCGCAGGTTACTAAGGTATTCTCCCTCAACTCTTATCCCTAACTGTTCTCATTCAAGGCTTCTGAAAACCTCGTGTAAGCACGCGGTAAATAGCAATGGGGATATTGTGTCCCCCTGCCTTACAC